GTCCAGAGCGGCCCTGCCCTGGCCACAGCGGCCGTACCCTGCCACACCCCTCCGCCGGCCTCCAGGCCTCCGGCAAGTTCACACCAACTCCGGCTCCACTTTCGCACCCCCAAATTGTGCCAATCATCCCCACATAGGGGCCACACCACCCCCCACCGGAGCCCTGAGTCCCCTAAATTCCCTAACCACACAACACCCAACCCCGCCTAGCCTGCAACCCCCCGACTGCGGCTCCGACCTCCCCCTTTAACCCACGTCGAACCCTGAGTCCGCCGACCCCCGTCCCCGCACCCAGCCGAACCCCTCCCAACCCGGCACCCCCGCCGGAACCCCGGGCACCCGCACCCCGGCCCCGGCCCCGACCCTGAACCCAACCACTGTGAGTCCGTGCCTCCGAACCCCGGCGCAGACCCCGATCCCCTCCCCCACGCCCACACATCCCCGGCCCCGGCCCACCGCCTTCGACCCTGGCCCCAGCCGGAATAACCCGGGGGGGGGCGGGGGGGTTACCCCGGGTGGGTGGTGGCCCAGGGGAGTACTTTTCTGCGGAAAAGCAGAAAGCGCCAGGGGGTGCCCGGCAGCAGTGCCCCCCCCCCCCGTCCCAGGCGCGGGTCAGGGGACCACCGCCCCGGACCCCTGGGGCCGGTGCTGTGACAACCCTGTGAGCCTTGGAAGGTAGCTTGCTGGCTTTGACAACTTAGGGTCGTGTGAACTGGTGGGCTTACGCAGGCAATAAGCTGATGTAATTTCGGTATGAACTGGCTTGGTCAGTGCATTTGTTCTCTCGATCAATTTGCTTTTTGACTTTTCCTTTTTCTTTTTGAGTACATTCACAAGCAGCAGGTAGAGAAAAAAAATGTTATTCTGATCTTGATAGTCTGGCATTGACAGACTTCCTGGGCCACTCTGGTGGTGTGAGTTCTTGGATGATTATTTCACTGTGTCTTGCTGCAATTTAGTGTCAATGTGCAAGACTGTGTTAGATTGTTGGTTGTGATGTGTGTTTCCCCATGCTGCATGCATCCTGGACATGTTGTTAGTTGTGATGTGTGTGTCCCCATGCTGCATGCATCCTGGACATGTTTTTACTGTCTTGCCCATGGCACTTCGTCTGCTGCCGGCAGTTCTTGATGTGTATATGCTGGTGCTTGCCACAAGACCATATTATGCTGAATGGAGTTGGTGGCATTTGGAAAAAAGGAGTAACACATGCTTTGCAACACACTGGCTTGAGAGAACTTCTCTGACTTCCATGGTGGTCCACGCTCGTCGTTTGATGGAAGCAGGGCGAGAGGATTGAAGCACAAAGATATTACGAGCTGTTCGAGAAGGATACGATCAAGTTTGGGAATAGCAGGTATGCGTCCAGATGGATTGTACCTCACAACCCACACGCAACCCGTGTAAAGTTCTTTGTTTCCGTATATGGCATTGACGCATCGAAAGGGAAACACACTGCCAATCGTCGGGCAATGTGAGTGTCTGTGTGATGGAATTGCACAGTCCTGGATGATTCAGTTTATCATTCAGCCGCTACGACACCACGTATGTAATGTCAAGAATTGTGGTTTGCCCACCTGATACAAATTTGTGGGTAGTATTTGTTCTTCAGGACCTCAGCGCTGACTGTCCTTTCAAATGTGAAGTTTCAGGTCTCATGTTACTATTGGTGGGATGTATGGAACTTGTCTAGGCTACCAGCTGGGCCGCCCGGGGTCACCTTGTTTGCCCGGGCGGCTTGGCCGTGCAAGGACCAACGAAGGTCCCAGCAAAACGAAGCAAAAAAAACTCCAAAAAAACTGAAAGAAAAGTTATGTTATGCGCAAGGAAAATGAGCAATAGCAAAATGGCAGATTTCAGATTGCAAAATCACATTGAAAGCAAGGAAGTCCAACCCTGTCCAGAAAGCAGAATTGCACCGATATTACACCAATGGAGAACCAAAACACTGAATCCGAGTGTCAATGAGAGCATACTCTCGCCATCGCCAACAAAAGTATCCAGAGCTCTTCCCCCTATCTGGCGCTCGGCGTCCAGACTACAATCACGCAGCAACTACCAGCCTACGAATTGACAATGCAACTGTTGACATCAGCAGCCAAACCGAAGTACATGATGATGTCGACCCTTGTAGACAATCGCCAAGACCAGGTACGGGCCCTCACATCATCATCATCATCATCTCTCTCTCTCTCTCTCTCTCTCTCTCTCTCTCTCTCTCTCTCTCTCTCTCTCTCTCTCTCTCTCTCTCTCTCTCTCGTCTTCACTACGCACACCTTCTTCCTCGTACACGAAGACCACCACCACCCGCTGGCTATCCAAGCCTGAAGCCCGGCTATGAAGGGCTGGGCTATGGTGCTGCCCTCAGCAGCGCCCTGTTCCCACTTGACGCCCGCGTGTGCCGGTGCCTCGCCGCTGGCGCAGCAAGCAGCCCGCGAGTCGATGCTCTAGCAGCGCTGCAGCTCGCAGGTGCAAGTGCACGAATGCGTGCCCTGGTGCCCGGCCCTTTCCTATATGGAAAGTGGCGGGCGCTTTGCCTTGCCACGCCCACGTGAGACTGAGTGCCCAGTAGCTTCAGTATCGGCCGAGGTGTCTGCGCCCAGGCCTGTTCAGACAGTGGTGGGACCGATTTGGTTAGGCATGTCCAACCACCCAGGCACATTCGTGCGATGTTCCCTGCTTACCCCACGTTGCTGGAAGGGCCTGGAAGGCTCACGGATCTTTCCCCTTTCTCACGTCCAAGGCAGATGCAACCAACTGGCGCGTGGCAACTGTCTGGCGCCGACCAAGATTTGCAAAAATTTACGAGGTCAGGGCGCATTGAGATTCAGGAGGCCCGCCTTCACTTGGGGTGGGCATGCGCCTGCTGCAGGGCCGTATGCTGAGGGGTCATGGTAACAAATTTGAAAAAACAAAAAGCCCTGATATGGCCTCCTTTCGAGTGAGGTGCAATGTGTGCAATCGAATGGTCACAGCGGTACTGCTTTTCTATGCCAGGATCTAGGCTGCACTCGAATGGTCGTCCCGCCCGGTTGGCCACCGGGCGACCCCAGCACATCATAGAGGGGGGAGGTTTTTTTTTTTCTTCGTGGGGGGCCTTCTCCCCCCCCAAGGAAGCCGCGGATGTGAAAAAACAAAAAACAAAAGGGCCGGTAGGCCCCGTTTGAACGAGTTCAAATGCCCGCTCATCTGGGCCGTCGATCCTCAAGATCGACGGCCCAGATGGGCGGAATTTGAACTCGTCCTACCGGCCCTTTTTTTTGGTCTGCTGGATCTTGATTCCCGCCAACGAAGTCGACGCCAGCGTAGAAGCCAGCGTTCGTCGCCCGCCAACGAAGTCGACGCCCCTCCCCCCCCCGACGCCCGCCGAAGAACGCCATCGCGCCTGCCCAGCCTACGCCGCCCGACGCCCCCCGACGTGCGCCACCGTGAGTGCGTTAGTGAGAGAGAGAGAGAGCGAGAGAGAGAGAGAGAGAGTTCTTCTTCTTCTTCTTCTTCTCCCTCGCTTTGTCTTCTTCTTCTCTTCCTCCTTCGCTTCTTCCTCTTCGTCTTCTTCTTCTTCTTCAAATTCTTGGTCTTCCTCCTCCTCTTCGTCCCCTCCTCCCTCGCTTCTTCTTCTTCATCTTCTTCTTCCTCCTCTCCTCCATCTTCTTCTTCCTCCTCTCCTCCTCCTCCTCCTCTTCTTCTTCTTCTTCTTCTTCTTCTTCTTCTTCTTCTTCTCCTCCTCCTCCTCCTCCTCCTCTTCTTCTTCTTCTCCTTCTTCTTCTTCTTCTCTTCTTCTTCTTCTTCTTCTTCTTCTTCTTCTTCTTCTTTTTATTGCCCCCCCCTGCCCGCCATCGATGACCACCAACGCCGCTTTTTTTTTTTTTTTTTTAAATCTGCCTCATCCGCGCGCGTGTTGGGCCGCGCCTGCTACCCCCCCCCTTTTCCTCCTCATCGAGTTCTTCTTCTTCTTCTTCTTCTTCTTCTTCTTCTTCTTCTTCTTCTTCTTCTTCCTCCTCCTCTTCTCCTCCTCTCCTCCTCCTCCTCCTCTTCTTCTTCTTCTTCTACTCCTTTTTCTTCTTCTTCTTCTTCTTCTTCTTCTTCTTCTTCTTCTTTTCTTCTTCTTCTTCTTCTTCTTCTTCTTCTTCTTCTTCTTCTTCTTCTTCTTCTTCTTCTTCTTCTT